TAATAATCATTTCATGGTCAAAATAACAATTTTTACTTATAAATAAAGATTAATAATATAAGAAAACATACATAGAAATAAAAATTTAATTACTTTTAAGCTTTGCAAAACATGTAGCATCCCTTATTGTTAAAATGAGTCATTTGTTTTTAGCTTTATTTAATGAAAATTATTTCTTAAAATTTTATTTATTTAATTATGAGTGAACTTTTAAACTTAGTCAAATGCAAATGAGATGAATATGCAATGATAATGTAGTCTTTTGATTTTTAACTAAATTTGGATAATTACACATCAGGCTTGGGCTGGTCTCAAGTTCATTGGGTTACCCATTGTAGAAATTACACTAAAACAAGTATTTAAAGATTCAAATTCAAAATCAGGAACAAAGTTTATTTTAACCAATTATCAGTTGACAATTTCATATTTTAATATTATTAATTATATTATAAATTAATTTACCCCATTCAAACCCTAAATCATTCACTCTCTCATCTTCCACTTCCTCTCTTCCTCACCCATTTCTCTATCCACTCCCTCACAGACCAAATTGTCGGAGACTGTCTCTTTACTCACTTCACTGTAAGAGGAGTTTCTCCTCGACAGCATCTTTCCATGTATATGTTATCTCATCCGTCTTTCTCTTAATGGAAGTCACCCGTATCTTCTCCTTCTCCAACACATGATTCACATCATTAGGATCAATGACTCCAATAACATCATTCCCTCTCATCTCCTCTCTCTATCCTTTTTACCAAGATTTGGTGCCCAACGACGTGCCTATCGTCATTGCTTCTAATATGGCAATGGTTAATCCACGACAATTGTAGATATGTTATTTCCTTTTTTATTTTTTTATTTTTGAGTTTAATTTCTCAAATAGTTATGATGGTTTGTATGGTCGATGGTTGTTGTGGTTTATGGCAATGGTGAAGTGGTGGTGGTTGCAAGTAGGACTATGTTGGTGATGGTGGGCCCATTAGGCTATGTTGGGGTTAGTGGTCGCAAGTGACTATGGTGATGGTTGCCATAGTGTTGGCGGTAATGTTATATGACAAACTTTTTGGTGTATGTGGCCAATTATTTGATTAATCTTTAACCAACTATTTGGTTATACGTGATCAACTATTTAATTGTGACCTAAAAATTCGATAATTGGTGACAAAAATAATTCGTGACCAACTAATTTGAAAATTTATGATCGACAAATATATCTTGACTTATAAATTTTTTGATTTGTGACCAGTGAAATAAACTATCACATATCAAAAATTTCTATTGTAGCTACAAAATAATATGTGACTAATTAATTTGATAGTATATGACCAAAAAATAAGTTGTGATCTATAAACACGCACATGTGACCATTAATTATATAATTGTGATCTTAACATATTTAATTGATAAAATATTTTTAATTATTCAATTAGTATTTGAGTTTTGAATTTTGAAACTTAGAACTTGAAAATTGAATTACTCCATACTTAATGGCTGACCTCTGAATTTTTCCCGTAAAGATTTTTGAACTAAATTTGAGCGTAAAATTTTTTGGGCTTTTCGCTTCAAAATTGGGCTGGAGCAAGTCTGGGCCATAGCTCAGGTCTGCCCCCCTACCTGCACCCTGATTGGCATTCAATAACAAATATCAAAATCGACAAGGAAATTTCTTCCCGGCCGAGTAGCATGGTTCAATAGATAATTAGCTCAATCAAATCATCGAACAAAAAATAGTTTATAAATTAACTTAATTTTTTAAATAAAGATTTAGATCTAATTATTAGAATTTCCCATTTTTATTCTGTTCTGTCTATTTTGAAAAGAGAAACTATAATATACGATTATTACTTTTGGGTTTGTTGCAACTTTTATGGAAAAGAATCGAAAAATGGAAAATGTTTTTGGGGCTTAATATCTTTAGTCCACCAACGTGGGTGAAATTACCAAGAGCTGTCCCAAAATAAATGGGATGTCAGTCTTTACACGTTGGATTTGATAAAAGATAATTTATATTCATACTACAAATTTATTTCTTATATTGTATTTTAATTTTATGTAAGGATCTCAGTCTTTACTCATTATAACATTTATGTCCTTAACGATTTTTAATGACATTCTTATCTTTAAACTTTTCATTACTTAACACACTTGTATTTGATAACAATTTATATATAAAAAAAGTTGTTGAAATAGCGTATAACAATCTATATCGGGATTTCGAATTGAGTGTTATACATAATCTCTAGTTTGATGTGTGAAACGAAGAGTTTTCACTGAACAAATATTGAATTATGTATGCATTTGACAATTTAGCAAATCAAATTTACCTCGAATTTATTGGGGAAATCTCTTGTTTTCTATACAAAAGTAGAGTATGCTAAAATAATAACGAGCTTACTGGGGAGCATATGAGAAAATCAGTACACAACTTTTGTTACACAGATTTTAGCAGGGCAGTTAATATATCATTTGAGAGAACACCCCCACCCCCTCCCCCCAAAAAAAAAAAAATGGAAAAAGGAAAAAAAGATGCAATTTGGAGTTGGGAAAAAAAATTATGTACGTTGAAGAACTTGAAGTTAGACAATCAAACAAAATTAGATCTTTCAAGCAAACTCAATATTTGCTTAGCATACTCGGAATTTGACTTCCTATCTTGCAAGATGTTTTTAAAAGTCAATATTTGCTAACGAAAAATTGCCATTTCATCAATCAAACTAGATATTATGTACAATACTCAATTCGAAATTCTTAATGCAAATAATCTAAAACGTATAATTTTTCATGCAGAGAACATAAGATAAAGTCTGATGAGGATTTGTTTAATTAACTCATATGGTCCACAATTATTTTCCTTGTGAAAAAAAAAAATAGAAATTGGATGTTATTATACATATTTGAAACTTTTTAAAATGAATAACGATATTTGTCATAATTGATGATCATTATGACCATATTTGGCAAGACAACGACATTAAATGATATGTTCATTTAAGCACAATGACATATACATGTTATCAGCCATTGTTTGATGGTAATTAGTGCTTAAAAATGATGTTTTGAAGTAATTTTTTGGAGAATGTGTCGTTAAAAAATGATAATTTTTTTCAATTTTTATGCGAATTATTTTATTATGTAAATATGTGATTGAAAAATAAATATTTTATTTTAAAGGAAGTCAAATAGAGATCGAATTCGATGTCATCTAATAATTACGATAGCTATCAATGATGACAAATAGCATTGCCTTTTTTTTTCTTTTAAAAAAAAAAAATAACATTGTGAGTTTGATTTTTTAATTACTTTAAGTATTGCACTTAATAAATTACAAATTCAATATTTGAATTGATTGATCATTGATATATAAAATATACGTCAAATACGTGTGTTGGGAAATAAATAAATATTTCTTGAAAAAAAAGAAGAAATAGAGATCATTTTTTTAAATGTATACAAAAATTTAATCTAATAATTTAAAAACAATATTTATTATGCATAATATGTTCTCTATAAATATAGAGTCTTTTAAAAATAACTTAGGTTGTGTATTTAATTGGGACTCTTGAATTATTTGATAGGCTTTTTAAAGTGACGTCTTTTGTGGATTTCATGATTTTTTTTGTAGATTTTTGTATGAAATTAGTGGAAGTCTTTCATAGACTTCTATAAACTTTCATTTTGAAACTTTTGTAGAATTCAAAAGGTTTTTGAAGACCTTCATTTGAAATAAAATTAACATAAATCTAGTGTAATATTGTGAAATAATTTCCCTTATCCTTTCTCTTCCTATAAAAGAAAAAGTTATTTTAAAAGAACAAAAATTTAAGATCTTAATTAAATAAATAATAATAATAATAATTATACACACACACACACACAACATATTCCTTTAAAAATCAATATATTTTTGCCATATAAAATTTTATAATTAAATAAAAAATATATTTTTTACAAAAAAATGAATAAAAAAAGAGGAAAAAAGTTATAAAAATTCAATTTAATTTTTTTCATAAAAAACAGAGATAAACAATAATAGAGAGAGAAAGATAAATAGAAATAAATATAATCAATAAAAAATTAAACTTTCATCATAACTAAATGTTCGTAGAAGGAAAAAAGGGAAAAGAAATATTGAAAGAAAAAACATATCAAATTTTTTTTCCCTCCCACAATCTTATGGTTATTGTGAAATTTTTTTTGAGATTTTAATTTAATATACCGTAATTTTTAGAAACTTTTTAAAACTTTATACAAGTTTCAATTGAATACATTAATACTTTTAAAAAGTTTCAAAATTTCTACATTAAATATTCTACAACTTTTTAAATATTTCAAAAAGCCGTTTAAAGTCTCAATTTGGATATACCCCCAGGATCTGTTTGACATGATTTTTATTTTTAAATGTTGAACCCCAACTTTAAGGGTCCCCCCCATCGCTTCGCCCGTGGAGTATCGTGAGAAATGTTAATCTCGGAATGTGCCTCAACAGATTAGAAAATAAGAGTTGCCTGTACACTGACGCCTACAAAGAATCTTAATCCATGTTTTAGGAATCGAACCCTCACATTGCGATTGCCAACAATGCTAAGTATATTTCATCCTCGTTTTTTGCACCACTGAAATATGCCCCGGGGGGAGACATGATTTTTATTTTTACTTTTACTTCATGTAGAAGAGGTTTTGGAGAAAGTTATTTTAATTTTTCTTTGAAGACTACTTTTTATTCGAGAAATGCATTTAGAAAAAGTTACTTTGGATTGACTTCTTCTAAAAACTTTTCTACTTGGAAGAAACATTTCCATAAAAATAATCAAACATTTCTAAAACTACTTTTAAATTTCAAAATCTCATTTTGATTTTTCAAAAGTCTTGCAACTATTAAATATTTAGACAATTTTTATAAAGTTGATGACCAACTTACTATTCCACCAACAAGTTTGGGATGAATGGGGTAATTTCTCCATTACATTTCATTAATGCTTAAATTCTACAACAGCATTTTTCACATTGGTTTAACCAAATAATATCCGCAAATATTATATGACTGAAGGGAGATCCAAAATCAAGCTCAGTTTGTATCACTGAAGTCCCAAATGGTCAATCGTAGCACCATCATGGCTTCTGCAATTTGTACTCCCAATTCATCTTTGTCATCTTCGTCATCTAACCCCTCTCTGTGTGCTTTCTTAAATTCATCAATTTTAATCCCCAAAAATATGAATGTTCAATATTTGAAATGCATCCCTCAACTGGGTCTCGGTCTTTCTTCTCCTTGGAACGGTCTTAAGAATCTGGGCATCTCAATCTCGCAACATTCTGTGAAAATAGGTACTGTTTTAGTCCTTTTGTGGGCACGTGCTATTATTAACAAAACAAAAAAATTGTATGCAAATTATGTGCGTGAATTTGTTATTGGAATATCTTAATTACAACCGAAATGGGTATCTTTAAGTTCGCTTTGTAAAAGGTTTTTGCTCCAAGTGTTTTTCAGTAGTTGAAGTAATGGCTTTTTGCAGAAAGAAAGGGCAGATGTAAAGGTAAGGGAGTGTATGCATCTCTATTTGGAGTTGGGGCTCCTGAGGCTCTGGTAATCGGGGTGGTGGCTTTGTTAGTTTTCGGGCCAAAGGGTCTTGCTGAGGTTAGTTTCAATTCTTCTTTTTTGGCGGTGGGGTTTGGCTATAGACCTCTCTTTATCTCATATTTGCTGCACTCTTTTGCATCATAATTTCTTTTCACGATTATGTGTATTTGCACCAGTGATGCGAATGCCATGCTCTCGGGTCCGGTTAGTAAAAAAGGATGTCAATGACATTTGGTGGCTTTTCTTGCTGAATGCACTTGATTTGACATTGCTTATCCAGCTTTATTGCTGTTTCAACTTTGTTTAGACTTTGTTCTTCTCTCTTTTAAATAAAGAATTTACTGAATGCTCTTTTAGTTCTCACTTAACTTGTGTTAGATTACAATAATTAGAGTTCATAACAATGAAAGTTTTTGAGTGCTAAAGCAACGCTTTGTTTAATTACTTATACGGTTATACCCAAGTTATCAACTTCTTTTCTAAAACTTAATGCACTGCAAGGATCATTTACTCTTTCAAAGGATAGAGATTCTAGGGAAACAAAGTACTGAAAGTAGCAGCAACTGCTTAGCATAAAAAATTGCTCAAAAGATGCAACAAGGCAAATGCCTTGCTGCTTAATTCCCGCTTCGATCCTTTGGCTTTCGCTACCAGCTTGTCATCTGTCGTTCATCAACCTGTAATTCTCTTTATTGTTTGAACAATTATAACAAACCTCCACTGTTCAAAAAATAAAGAGATATATATAGTTTGGAAGAAGAATTGTGCTTCTTATTTTATTCAAGAATGACGATTACTATTTAAATAGAAGGAAAAAGGCCACCGATTTAGGAATGCCATAAAATCAGAAAATAAAATGGCATATCTCTAGGGTACATATCAGAAAACATATAGGATTTCCTAGTTTTACTCCCTAGAAATCCGACACCCCCCTCAAGTTGGAGTGTAGATATCTATCATGCTCAACTTGCTTATACAAAGTTCAAAACTAGGTTTGAAAAGTCCTTTGGTGAAGATATCGGCTGTTTGTTGAGTAGTGGGGATAAATGGCATGCAAATAGTTCCACTATCAAGCTTCTCTTTTATGAAATGTCTATCAATTTCTACATGCTTCGTGCGATCATGTTGTACTGGATTTTGAGCAATACTTATGGCAGCTTTGTTGTCACAATATAACTTCATTGGCATGTTCACTGGCATCCGTAGATCTTCAAGAATTTTCTTCAGCCATAGCATCTCACAAACCCCGTTAGCCATAGCCATATATTCTGCTTCGATGCTGCTCCTTGCAACCACATTCTGTTTTTTGCTTCGCCATGTGATCATATTTCCCCAAACATAAGTCCAGTATCTTGTTGTAGATCTCCGATCAATAACTGAGCCTGCCCAGTCTACATTAGTGTAAGCCTCTATGTTCTGCTGTGTGGTCTTCTGGAAGAGTAACCCCTTCTCTGGTGTACCTTTCAAGTATCTAAGAATTCGATAAGCTGCTTCAAAATGTTTTGCGTAGGGTGAGTGCATAAACTAGCTTACCAAACTCACAACAAAGGCAATATCTGGTCGTGTATGTGATAAGTAGATTAACTTTCCCACCAACTTTTGATACCGAGTTGCATTTACTGGATCACCTTCCTTGTTATCACCCAATTTTTTATTGGGATCGATTGGAGAGTCTACCGGCCTACAACCACTCATCCCAGTTTCTTTGAGAAGGTCAAGGACATACTTCCGTTGGGAGATAGCAATTTCTCTCTTTGATCGGGCAACCTCCATCCCAACGAAATATCTCAGAGATCCTAAGTCCTTGATCTCAAATGTTGATGAGAGGGAAGTCTTCAATCGGTTCATCTCAAGTACATCATCTCCAGCGAGAATTATATTGTCTGCATACACAATTAGTATTGCTATCTTCCCATCATGTAAATGTCTTATAAACATCATATGATCACCTTGTCCTTGAGCATACCCCTGACTTTTAACAGATTGAGAGAATTTTTCAAACCAGGCTCTTGGTGATTGTTTTAATTCATATAGGGACTTCTTCAGTTTACAGACCTTTGTGCTAAACTTTTCACAGAATCCTGGGGGTGCATCCATGTACACTTCTTCCTCTAGTTCGCCATTAAGGAACGTATTTTTTATGCCCAACTGTTACAGAGGCCAGTCACGATTAGCTGCAAGTGACAAAAAAACTCTTATCGAGTTTAGCTTTGCGACTAGTGCAAATGTCTCAAAGTAATCAATACCATAGGTTTGAGTGAATCCCTTGGCAACCAATCGAGCTTTATATCGTTCTAGAGAGCCATCCGATTTATACTTGATTGTAAACACCCATTTGCATCCTACAGTTGTCTTTCCTCTTGGTAGATCAACTACCTTCCACGTGCCATTTTTTTCAAGAGCTTTCATCTCCTCAAAGACAGCCTCTTTCCATTCAAGAACTTTCAGAGCATCTTGCACAGTATTGGGAATCTCCATACAAGACAATTGTGAGGTAAAAGCACGAAATATAGGTGAGAGATTTTTATATGACACATAATTGGACAATGGATGTTGGGTACAAGACCTCACACCCTTCCGGACTGCAATGGGAAGTTCAGAATCACCTATCTCAGGATAGGAATCAGACTTGGAGGGTTCAGAATTAGAAGATGAATTGAGTTGAACATGAGGTAAAGGTTTGGTGAGGACATTACCTGGAGGGTTTACGGATTCTGGGCAGTGCAAAGGATTGGAGGACCCTTTCTTTTGAGTTGTCCTTTGTCGCGAGTAGACAATGTCAAATGTTTTCCTTGTTGTTCTTTCGTTGGGGACATCATGAGTTGTCACTATAGGAGGCCCTCCCTTTTCAGTATCCAAGAAACTTGACTCACTTGGCATAATGATGATAGGGTTTTCAGGTTGAACTCCCCTTTCAGTATCCAAGAAACTTGACTCACTTGGCGTAATGACGCTAGTGTTTTCAGGTTGAATGATCAAGGTTGGAGAAGGATCATTTTGCGGTTCTGTAGTTTGGAAAAGATCATGGAAAATATTTGCCAAATCTTCTTTATTTTGGTTCCCCCCCTAAAGATGAGGTGTGAAATAGGGTTGTAATTCAAAAAAGGTAACATCCATGGTAACAGACTTTTTTTGAAAATGGGTTCAAAACATTTATACCCTTTTTGAGTGGGTGCATATCGCACAAATACACATTTTGTGGCTCGGGGTTCGAGTTTTCCCCGATTTTGTTTATGAATGTGAATAAAAGCGGTACAACCAAATATCTTTAGTGGTATAGATGAAGAAAATCGATTTGTTGGATAAAACTTTTGAAAAACATCGAAAGGTGTTTTAAAATTTAAAATCTTATTAGGCATTCTGTTTATGAGATATGTAACAGTAAGAATGGCTTCATCCCAAAGATATTTAGGTACCTGATTGGTAAATAACAATGCTCGAGTTACTTCCAGTAATTTTTTTTTTCAGCTCAGCCATTTTGTTGTGGAGTATCAACACAATAGCTTTGATGAACAATCCCTTTTTCAAGAAAAAATTGGTTTAACATATTTTTGAAATATTCTCGACCATTATCACTTCGCAATATTTGAATATTTTTTTGAAATTGTGCCTGTATCATGGTGTAAAAGTTTTTGAACATTATTTCCACTTCAGATCTTTCCTGTATCAGATACACCCAACTTATTCTCGTGTGATCATCAATAAAGGTCACAAACTATTTTTTTCCAGAGTATGTAGGTATTCTACATGGTCCCTAGATGTCACTATGAATCACAGTAAATGGTGTAGTTGGTTTGTAAGGTTGGGTGGGGAAAGATGCACGATGATGCTTAGAAAACTGACAAACATCACATTGAAAAGATGACAGATTTTTATTCCGAAGTAAGTTGGGAAATAGGTATTTTAAATACTGAAAGCTAGGATGGCCTAAACTATAGTGCCATAGCATAACATTATTATTCTCAAAATCAGAAACAGAATTTAAACAAGTACTTTGACATTGCGTACTTGAGTTAGGTCCTTCGTCAAAATAATAGAGTCCATCTTTTTCCTTAGCATTGCCAATCATTCTCCTCGTAGTTAATTCCTGAAACTCACAATGAGAAGAATAGAAATTAGCTTGACACTGATGATCAGATGTGATTTTACTGATGGATAGCAAATTGCAAAACAAATTGGGAACATGGAGTACATCATGGAGGGTTATCAATGAAGTGAGTTTGATAGTTCCTATCCCGACAATTATCGAGAGTGAACCATTAGCGATTTTTACCCTTTTATTGCCTGCACATGGACTATAAGAGAGAACAATTGGGAGCGGCCGGTCATATGATCGGTTGCGCCATAATCAATTATCCAAGAAAGAGCACAATTAGGGATAACACATAAAAAAGCAGTGACAAGAGAATTACCCTTTTGTACCAAGGAGCAAGGAGGAGTTAAGGACATTTTTGGATATTGAAATAACTTGTACAGGTGCTCTAATTGTTCCTTGGAGAAAGGAATTGCATCTGAATTGGCTTAAAATTCTTGAGTTTCTTCAGATATGGTTTGGTAGGCTCGACCTTCTCTTTTGGACTTTGGTTTCCAGTTGGCTGGTTTACCATGAAGCTTCCAGCACGTATCCCTTTTATGCCACGGTTTTTTGTAATAATCGCACCATGGTTTCTTTTGCCCATCATTGTCTGAATCCATTTTAGACACAAGGACAGAACTGTTAGGCTCCAGATTAAGGTCAGATTCAGTCCTGTGCAGCATTATTTTCCTCCTTGATTCTTTGCGTCTAACCTCAGAGAACACCTCACGCATAGGAGGTAGTGGTTTCCGACCAAGGATACGGCCCCTGACCTCGTCCAGATTCCGGTTAAGGCCAACTAAGAACATGTAGACCCTGTCATTTTCCTCCCTCTTCATGTGACGAGCAGCATCATTTGGATTTTCCCAGACATCATCATAACATTGATCAAGTTCCTGCCATAGTGTTACCAATTTGTTGTAGTTGGTAGTAACATCGCGATCGTTCTATTTGAACTTCCAAAGTCGGGTTTTTAAATAAA